GAGGGGAGGGAGAGGGAGAAGGGATTGACATGTGAAGCAAGCTTGTTCCTAATTTGAACTAATAAAATAAAATAATAAATAAGGATAATGAAAAAAAAAAAAGATCATTGGCTGCTCTTCCAGAGGACCCAGTTTCTATTCTCAGCACCCACATAGTGGCTCACAGTGGTGTGTAATTCCAGTTCCAGGAAACCTGACACCCTCTTCTGGCCTGCATGGGCACCAGCCATGCATGTGGTACACAGACATAATACATGCAGGCAAAACACACACATACAATAAAAATAAGTCAGTCTTTTTTTTCTTTTTTTAAAGAATGCATGGAAGAAAGTGAAATAGTGTTCTTAAATATAACGGAGTTAAAAGAGTACTGTGTAAATGTTTGTCAGAAAACAAAATCCGTATTAAATTTAATGTGGCTGTGATAGATACATTTGTCAGACTCTCTTGCTGTGACAGACATTGTCATGAACAAAGGAGGAAGGCTTTCATTGTACTCAGTTTCAGAGGTTTGGGCCATCATGACCTCAATGACATGGAGAAGCAAAGCAGTTTGCACTATGGCAGCAAGGAAGTAGAGAGAGATGAGGGTCCGGGGCTCAGGGCTCCAAAGTTATACTTCCTTTGACTTGGCACTACCTCCTCAAGTTTCCAGAATCTCCTTAAATAGTGGTACCAGCTGAGGCCCAGCCTTCAGTGGTGAGCATTTCATACTCAAATCACAACAGTAAGTAAACTTGTACTGTTTTGCTGTTATTACCATCTTTGTTATAGACACCATCTGATGGACAATAAAACCTTCCTCTTCTGACAATCTGAAATGTAAGAAATCACAGGTTTGAGGACAGAGCGATGGTTCATTTGATAAGGTGCTTGTCACACAAGGAGAAGACCTGAATTCTTATCCCTAGACCCTACATAGAAAAGCTGGGGTGGTGGTGCACACCTATAATTCCATCACTGTAGAGGCCTCTGCCAAGGAGGATCCATGGGACTTGCTGGCCAGCCAGTCTAGCCACATTGATGAGCTCTAGGTTCAGTGAAAGACCCTGTGTTAGTCTGAGAAAACACAGTGGAGAATGACAGCAACAGTCACCCAGTGTTTATTTTATGTAAGAATATACCAGCCTAGTGTGATGTGCATGTTTTTATTCCAGTATTGGGGAGGAGGGGGGCAAGAGGCAGGTGGATCAAAACAAACAAAACAAAGAATACAAATATAAAATATAGCATGTCAGTGGCTCACAGTAAATCCTTAATAATTTTATTTTGAGAATTTATTAGATCAGTTTGTGTTTCAGTGTCAGACTATTGTCTAGTATGAAAGGACATTAGGTGGAAATGAAAGTAACACTCAGGTTATTTATTCATCCCGATTTGAGATGGAGGTTACTCTGTGTAGCTCAGACAGGCCTTGAATTTAGGATTATCCTGCCTCTGCCTTCTTAGTGTTCTTGTGCCACCATGCCAAGATTTTGATCCTCTTAACATTACTGTTTTTTTTTTTTTTTAAAGCCATGAAAATGTGCATTTATCCTCTCTCCCTTTCTTTTTTTTACAGGAATACCAGTGTATTCAGTAGCATGGGGCCCCGATTCAGAAAAGGTTCTTTATACAGCAGGCAAACAGCTCATCATTAAACCTCTTCAACCAAATGCTAAAGTTTTACAGGTACATCTCAGGCCTTTGTAAGTTGCTATCTTTCTCTACATCACTTCGAAGCTGGGTGGTCCTTGCAGTTCCTTCCTTCTGGTTAGTCCCCTGACTGTCTGAGAGCTTTGAGTTTGCAGTTTTATCAAACTTTAAGGGTATTTCTGTTCATGTTTCCCAAAAGATTCACTTTTCTTTGTTATTTCAGCAGACAGTGTTGTAGTCAGTCATGCAGGTGTTTGGAGTGACTAAGTTGTCATGTGATTCAGCACAAGATAGCATCCTTCAGTTTACGGAGTCAGCCTCCAGTGTGTAGGTCTGAGATGAAACAAAACTAAACGAAACTCTTAAGAGTGCTTGATTTTGTTTTTAATCATCACTGCCATCAGTTCAAACACTTGTGCTCTGTCAAAGGCCTAGCATTCTTTTAGTATTTTTAGAATGGAGGAGTCAATATAAGACTTAGAACCAAGTATGTGCATATAACTTTATGAATAATATAGAAAGCATTTGGCATAAGGATAGATGTTGAGCTGACGTTTGCTTTGTCCTATTCGGAAAGAAGGGATAGTTTTTAGGAGCTAAATCTTAAAGAATAGGTGAGGAGGTGGTCCTAAACTCAAGGAGTAGAAAAAAACTGGTTATTCAAAAATTCAAGGGAAAGGGGTTAAACAGAATTACACAAAAGCAAGCAAAACAACAATGGCTGTTAAGACAGCTTAGGCAGGGCCAAATGAAAGACACACTTTCAAGCTAGTATGCAAGATTTGGTTATTGATTCTAGTACTGAAAGACAGAATGATTTCTCTTACATTTTGGTCAAGACACAGTGTAGTTTGGATTTTGTCTTACTTTTCGGTTGCTTCGATAACACACTATGACCAAGGCAATTTATAGTGTTTACTGCTCTAGTTGCTTGAACCTTGGAGAGCAGGGGCCTAAAAATGAGGTGTGGACTAAAGTCTCATGCAGTAGCCAACTTTATTCAGAGCATCAAACAGTTTATATTCTGAAGGTTAAGAAGAGTAACCTGAATAAAGTGTACAATCAGAAGGACAAGCCACATTAGGCAAAAACATGTTTTTCCTAGAGGCATATAAATAACAGCTGAAGTAAACGCACCCCTATCCACTATGCCTAGGAGGAGTGTGAAAACCCATTCCAAGAACAATTCTGTGTTTTGAAGAAATTGAGGTTACAAGACTCTTGTTTTCTAGGAGTTCTCTCACAAGCACTCAGAATTCTCAGATGACTCCATTCTTTTATTTTAACTGCATATATGTTTGCATGAGGGTGCTGGGTCCCCTATAACTGGAGTTACAGACAGATGTGACCTGCCATTTGGGTGCTGGGAATTGAACCAGGGTCCTCTAGAAGAGCACTTAACTGCTCTTAACTGCTGAGCCATCTCTCCAGTCCCCAATGACTCCATTCTTGAACTTTGTTCCCGCATTATAGAAATAAGGGTTTATTTGAGGGTCCAACTTTAAAAGTCACCATAGTCTTTCACAGTCTCAACACAGTTTAAAAGTTGTCTCTTCTGAGACTGAAGGCAATCTTTTAATTATAACTCCTTGTAAAATCAAAAAGCAAATTATACACTTCCAACATACAGTGACAGAATATATATTACCATTCCAAAAGGAACAAATGGGACATAGTGAGAAAATACTAGATGAATCAAAAAACAAAAATGAAATCCAGCAGTGCAAACTCCAAATCCGGTAGCCCCATGTCTGTTGGCAAAGGGCTTAGATGACTTACTGCAGCACAATTTCTCAGCTGGTTCCAGTCCTTGTATGCAGCTCTCCTTGGCAGATGTCACATGGGTTTTGCATCTCCACCATCCTCTGGTCTCCAGTGCAAACCAGGTTTCACTTTCATAGCTTCGTGCAGTGGCCTCTCAGGGCCTCCATACACCCTGCCACATACCTGGCCTCACCACCTTTCTTTAACTGTAGAAGTTTCCACAACTCCTTTACTCACTCACACATCATCCTTAGGACTCTAAAGCCAGAACCATGTGGACAACACTGCCAAGTTCAACTGCTCTTGCTTAAACTCCCACAGCTTTGGAGTCAGGCACCTGGGTCAGGCCTTCACTTGCTTACCTCTATGTGATGACACAAAGTTTTGAATCTCTTTGCATCTCAACTTTCTTGTCTCTGACAGCAATACCTACTTACTTGTTTATGAGGATTAGTGTCTGGTATGTACTAAGCACTCAATAATATTGAGTAGCTGTTACTGATGCTGTTATGTTATTATGAGTTAATATGCCTTCTTTCCCCTTTAATCAGTTAGAGAGTTCAGAAAAAAAAAAAAAAGATGTAAGGGGCACTGGAGCAATAGCTCAGCCATGAGAATACTAGCTGTTCTTCTAGAGGACACAGGTTAGATTTCCAGCATCCACATGGCTCACAACTGTTTGTAATTCCAGTTCCAGGGGATCTGATGCCCTCTTCTGGCCACCACAGGCACCAGACATGCATGTGGTCTTCAGATATAACATGCAGGAAAACACATATAAAATAAGAAAACAAATTAAAAATTATTTTAAAAAAGATATAAGGAACTTGGTGATGGAGATTGACAGGCTGAATCAGGTATAAGAAGCGTTTTAAGTGTTCTAAGAAGCATAAGTTTGGGGACTGGAAAGATGGCTGGGCAGTTAAGAACACTTACTGCTTTTGCAGAGGACCCTGGTTTATTCCCAGCACCCACACGGCAGGTAGCATCTGTCTATAACTCCAGTTCTTGTGAATTTGATGCCCTCCTCTGGCCTCTGGGTGCTGCACACATGTAGTCTACATACATACAAGTGGGTAATTGAACACATAAATTAAAAATAAAAGAATCATCAGTTTCAGAAGTTGGATAAATGTAGATTTCATGCAATAAAGAGATCAAGGAAACCATATATGTTACCTCTTGTCTATCTACCTTTCTGTCTATTATTTATATCAATTATTAATCAAGGAAATAGCCTCCAGGCTACTCTTACAAAGGCATTTTCTCAATGGAGGCTCCCTCTTCTTTTCTAGCTTGTATTAAGCTGACAAAAATGTAACCAATAAATCTACAATGAAATTAGACAGCAAAGACAGGAACATGGATCTTTTCATTTATACTTTTGGTTTACGTTCATGTGCATTAAGACATCTGTAATTAGGTTTATATAAACAAAACTTGGTAGTTTTGTGCATCATTATAAAATGTACTTTAGGGCTTCTGTGTTAGCCAGAATAGAAAAGAAAATATACCCATTATCACAATTCACTGGAGCGAAAGAGGGGTTAGAGTATAATTAGAAATGAAATGCAAATTATCCATTCCTTTTGGGAATCTAAACTTGTAGCAATTCTCCAGGAATATAAGCACATGCAAGTGTGGATGATCCACAAAAGGGCATATTAAGTTTAGAACTGTAAGGCTAGTTTCCTTTAAAGCACCCCACACATTCAGAATCCAGTTTTATATGAGGTAGCATATTTATACATTCAGTATAAATATACTACATGCTAGCTGTATGACAGTATTGGCTATTAAATAGAATAGAGCAGCACTTGGGGACATATTCCAAAGCAGGTTAGCATGTGTGAGGCCCTGGGTTTGATCACAGCATCACACACACAAAACAAGCAAGCAAACAAAAATTGTCCTCAGTTTATTTTTTAAGAGAAATAGAGGATGTTTCCTGTCAAAAGAGCTTGTTGTTCTAATGGATTGGAAATTTATATATATATATATATCCTATATGTCTCTGGATCACTTATGTTTAAGAATAAGGAAAACATGCTTGCTGTATAGATTGCACGTTTCTGGGTAACTTGTATATGTCTGTCTATAGGCATTTTGTATGTATAGAATATATGTTTATTACAAAAAATGTTTCATCATATGGTAAGTCAACAGAGAGTTTGTAATAAATCCAGTTGTGACCTAGACCCATAAAAGTAAAAAGGCTTAGGAGATGTAAGGAAAGAGAGAGAGAGAGAGAGAGAGAGAGAGAGAGAGAGAGAGAGGAAGAGGAGAGAGACAGAGAGAGAATACTAAAGATGTTTATGTGGTAAAGTATGAAACAAAAGAAAAAACAGTCTGGCATATAGCTAACTGGTAAAGTATATTTTATGTGTGAGGCCCTATGATCAATTACTACTCCTCTCTCCTGACCACACCCCCGGGAATAAAAGGAAAGAGAATTTTGTATGTAAGTAAGCATGAAGACAGTATCACTGAGAGGACCAGCAGTACAAAGGAGATTTGAAGTCATCTGATATCTCAGATTATATCGCATTTATTCCAGCTCATTATGCTAAAGTCAAGCTTGAAACAATAGCAGCAAGCAGTTTTCCAATTAGAGTCCAGGCAATTGAGCAAATTCATAGGATGTAAGCTATAAAGTGGATGTCATGGTGCTAGATGCTTTCCTTGATGTAACTGGAATGAAACAAGCAAATGAGGAATTGCACAGTGGCTAGTGAAGAAAATAGGAGTCCATGAAAAGATGATGAGAAAAAAGAAAAAAGAAGGACACTAGAAAGAGGTGACAAGCTGAGCTTGACAGTGGTCCACAGTCGCCCCAGCTACTTAGCAGGGTGTGGCAGAGGTATGTGGTTTAGGTCAAGCTGAGCAACACAGTAAGATCCTCAGCTCTTAAAAAATAAAAACCAAAATAAACAAATAGATAAAAAAATAAAAATCCAGAAGCAACAACAACAACAAAAAACCTAAAAGGAAACAGAAAACAGTTTTTTTTTTTATAGAAAAAATTTCATTTCTAAAGTTGTAAATAATATCTTTTCCTCCCTTCATAGTGGAAAGCCCATGAAGGCATTATTTTAAAAGTCGATTGGAACTCAGTCAATGATCTTATTTTATCTGCTGGTGAAGACTGTAAGTATAAGGTATGTGTCTTAGCTTCATTTCCTGTTACTGTGATAAAACACCCTGACAAAAGCAGCTTTAAGAGAGAAAGGATTTGTTTGGCTTACAGTCATAGGTGACATCATTACAGGCAAGTCAGGGTAGGGACTTCAAGCAGCTAGTTACACCAACAGTCAAGAGCAGAGAGAGGATGAATATATGTGTGCTTGTGTGCAGTTCATTTTTCAACTTTTAGAGTCCAGGACACAAACGCAGGGAGTCACACTGCCCACAATGAGTGGGTCTTCCCACTTCATTTACGTAATCAAGACAGAACCCCACAGATGTCCCCAGGCCAACCTGCTAGACAGTCCCTTACCAAGATTCTCTTCGCACAAAATTCTATATTGTGTCAAGCTGACAAATAAAGCTATGATAATATATAATGTTAGACTTACTATTGGCTTAAAAGAATATAATCTAGGGGAAAAGTACTTACCATATAAAACTAATCTTTTAGACTTTTATCTATAGTAATTGAGCAATTTGGTTTCCAGCTTTAACTATTTAAAGTTCTCATAATAAAATTTTGATTTAATAAGCAGCAACATCAATTTAGCTCCTTTTTTGTGTTTCAATTTGAGTCAGCTCATTATTTTACTTTACTCACTTAATGGTTTTAAAAATCAATTCTACTAGCTTCCTAAATATTGTTCCATTTCAGACCATAATAATTTGTGGGTGCTAAGATGTTCCCCCCTTTCTGCAGTACTGGAACCATTGATATACTAGGTAAAATGTAACTGTAGCTTCCCACAGCTGTTTGGCCCCAAATAAACACATGGACACTATATTAATTATATAACTGTTGGCTGATGACTTGGGCTTCTTATTGGCTAGCTCTGCCTTAATTATTAACCCATTTCTATCAATCTGTGGATTGCCATGTGGCTGTGGCTTACCGGGTAATGCCACAGCATGTTGTTACTCCTTTGGCAGCATCACGACTGTGTGGCGGGCTCACTCTGCCTTCCTTTCCCAGAATTCTGCTCGTCTCCTAGTCTCACCTATTTTCTGCCTCATTGGCCAAACAGTGTTTTATTCATCAATCAATAAGAGAAACATATAAACAGAAAGACAACCCCCATCAGTAAAAGATACCCTTATTGAGGTGTATCTCTAGCTCTAACAGTAAAATTTAGTGTAACTGTAGTTGCAGGGACTTTAATAAATTATTATTAAAAGTCAATAGAAGTCTCATTTGGAAAAAAGAAATTCTAGGAAAGGCCAACCATCACCAGATTTTACTACTAAAATTTAAAGTGCTCAAGATGGGTAGATGTTATGTTTAGTCCAGGGTTAGTAATGTTGTGAAATTTTTCTTTCTGAGACATATAAATTTTCAGGAATACTGCTTTGTCCTCCCTGTATGATGGCAAAGTATCTAGTTGCTAACTCTATACAATTATGATTTCGTAGTCTTCACTTGATATTTTATTGGAAGACAAACTTTTTTGTAGTAATGTGGTGGTGCTATTATAAAACATTTAAAAATTTGATTTTGTAGGTTTGGGATAGTTATGGCCGTGTACTGTACAGTTCTCAGCCTCATGAACACCCTATGACCTCAGTTGCCTGGGCTCCAGATGGAGAGTTGTTTGCTGTTGGATCATTTCATACCTTACGCTTGTGTGATAAAACTGGGGTAAGTTGCAGCGATGAGCAATCACAGGTGTGCTGCCATAGATGTGGTAAAGTACCACACACAGTGCTTTCTCTTTAAGAAATGTTTCAACAAAAGTATTTGACTTAACCTCTCTTACTTATCTTAGTAAGGTGGTTCAGTCAATTCCTGATAATGAGATTAAACGATTTATAATTGAAGAGTGGACATAATTTCTACTGTTTATCTTTTGGAAATATTTGTTTGGAGCATGATGCTGAAGGGTGGTAAGCAGTGTAGCTGTTTAACTTTATGGCCACTCTGTATGGAGAGTACAGCTTTAAGTTTATTTTTGGTACCAATATGCTTCATAAAAATTTTTAGTTGCATATTTTTTGTAGGAATTAGTAGTAAATTTAAAAGTTGATTTTAGTGCTAGGCATGACGTTGCATGCCTTTAATTCTAGTACTTGGAAGGCAGATCTCTGTGAGTTCAAAGCCAGCTGGTCTATACAGCAAATTCCAGGCTAGCCAGGAGCAATGAGGCCCTGTTTCAAAAAGTAAGCAAACAAACAGACAAATCTCTAAAAGTTCCCGAAGGATATATATTTCTTTCTTAAGGATTTGTGTCTAGGGAGCTGGGGAGGTAGCTTGGTTGGTATGTGTCTGCTGTATAACATGGGGCCTACGTTTGGATCCTTTACACACATATAAAAGCCAAGCATGTGCACATGTCTGCCAGAACTGGTGGTGGTGGAGACATAAGGGTTCCTGTAGCTCATTAAGTATTTTGGTCTAGCTGAATAGCGAAGCTCCAGGTTCAATGAGACACTGTCTCAAAACATAGAGTGGAAGAGATAGAAGAAGAAACTTGATGTCAACTTCTGTCCCCCAAACACTGTACATATAGGTGCATGCACACTCACATGCAAATGTGTATACAACACACACACACACACACACACACACACACACACACACACAGGAGTGCATGCACACATACATACACAGAAAGGAAGAGAGTGCATGAATGTTCATGATTGGATACATGTGAGTTTTTTCTTTGCAAGAGTATTGTGTTTAGAACAGAATTCTGTTCTGGCAAATGCCAGTCTTGATAACATTTATCCATTGTTCTCAAAGAATGAGGTTTCCATTAAAGTGCTCCAAAAGCAGTAGCATTATATGGCTGGCAGAATCTGAGTTGTTATGTTGGCTTTCTGTCACCAAAGCAGAGTGGATAAGGAAGTCAGCTGGTAGAATAAAAGGTTTATTTTGACTCCTGGAGTTTCTAGTCCACTACCATCTGCTTCTATGCCTTTGGGTGTGTATGAAGCAACACTAGGCAACAGTGTGTGGCAGAGCAAGCTGGAAAGTGAGGAAGGAATTGCACAGGCAGGGTTCCCACATTCCCTCTCAAGGGATGCACCAAGTGCCTAAGGACTTGCTTCTACAGCACTCTACCTTCTACAGATTCCACCACCTCCTAAAAGTGCCATCCTGAAGACTGTTCAAGCCATTAACAGAAGGACTTCTGGGGACATTGAAGGTCTGAACTGTAGCAGTGGGATGATTCTGTACTATTCTTAGCCATGAGGGACTCTGATAATTGTTGTATGTCTTCCCTTCATCAAGTGCAAATTTGGGTAGTTAGAATGTTAGAACTTTATAAATAGCCCATGAACTTTTCTGGTTACTTGTTTTCCATCACATAACATTTTAGTCTTGTGCCTGGTGGAGAAGCTTTGAAATCTGGTGCTGTAAAATCCATTTTGTCACTTCCCCCATAGCTCCCTAATATATGTCTGTGAATCGGTTGAATGCTGCCTCCTAAGCCGTTCTTGCTAGTCATAGCCTCATTCCTTTTGTTTTCCTCCCCCTTCCTTTTTTTTCTCTTTGTGAGACAGGATCTTGCTATGCATACCAGATATCTTTAAATATGTTATCTTCTTTATGCCGCCCAAGCACTGAGATTACAGCTGTGCAAACATCATGCCTGGCTGCCTGGCTCCCCCCCTCCCCCCCCCCCCCGGGTTTTCTATGTAGCTTTGTTGCATGTCCTGGAACTCATACTGAACTCACAGAGATCCACCTAGCTGCTTCTGTCTCTTGAGTGCTGGGATTAAAGGTGTGTACCACCACTGCTGGCTGCCTGGCTTCATTTCTATCTTTTCATAGACTAGTCTCATTTCCATCTTCTACATAGTGAATTGTACACATTCTTTTAAGGTCTGTCTCACAATTGGCTTCTTTTGATTGTGTCTTGTGTAGATAGCCTAAAGTTGGTTTAAAATGGTGTTTAAAGTCTATTTTTCTACTTCTCACTTTGATCCTTTCTTTTCTCAGCTGTAACATCAGGATGTTAGATTATCTAATGATTTAGAAACCTTGTTTTGCTTTTCTTTGTTTTCAGATGTAAGGATTTTTACCTCAGGTATCCATCAGTGATTGTGTCTAGAGAACATGTAGATTCATTTTTGTAATACATTATGCTTTTATATTATCTATTTTAGTTTTATGTATATTAATTTTGATTCTCCAGTGCATAGTGTCCCATTACTTAAGTATTATCTATACAGCACAGTAGATATTCAGTACTTTATTAATTGTGCATAATCATTTTAATGTATCATTTTGATTGCAATTTTAAAAATTGATTTATGCAAATAACTGAGTTCAAAATTTACCCCTTTAATCACCATATCCTTTTTTAGACTAATAATAATTCAGGAAAAGTAAGCTGAATTGACCAAATATGTTATAATGTCTTAGAGATTTGAGACTAACATTTTAAGTATATGTTCTTTTTATTTGATAGTCATAAATATATACTATTCATGAGACAGTGTTTGTGAAACTGGACTTTAGATATTAAAACATATAGACTTTCATTCAAGTTACTAACAGTCTGAAAGAGACTCATAAGACTTACACAGAACAGTCACTGAGTGGTATGTAGAAAGTTTGTTAAGCATTATGACCATGTGTGTGAGCCTAATTTTCCCTGTGGGACATTGATTGGAGAGCTGAGGCTTGGTGAATAGGTAATTCTCCAAGAAGACAAGGTTAAAGGAAGTGAGTTCAGGCAGAAGGAACCTCTTGTATCTCCAAGTGTGAAAGAGTGTGGCAGTTTTTTTGCAATGTCAGTAGATCTTGCATAGGATATTATCAGAGGTTGATATAGAAGAGACAGTCACCAAACTAGCCTGCTCTGGCCCTACAGAAGAGGATCCATTTAGTCCTTCAAGATCTAGTCCTTTCTGTGCCCCCCTCAGCAGCACAGATGGAAAGGTAGGATTGAACTCAGGTGTTTTCCTTTGTAGTCAGGGGAAGCTCCATAGTGACTGGTTTGGCTGTGACAGTATCAAGTGTAAGGATCCTTGAGTAGCTGGAACCCTGAAGCTGGGAAGGCAGCATTGTCTGTTTAGTCCAGAAAGTACATGGCTGCTGGGCAGTAATGCATTGGAACTTAAATGTTGGGAGTATTGCTTTGACAATGAATGGACTGTGATATGTGAAAGAAGGCAAACCAACCAAAGGCAAAGGATTAAAGATTATTAGAAAAATTAAAAGCTGCCATGCCATGGTCCACGCCTTTAGTCCTATCACTTGGGAGGCAGAGGCAAGCAGATCTCTATAAGTTCAAGGTCAGCCTGGTCTACAGAGTGAGTTCTAGGACATTCAGACTGCATAGAGAAACCTTGTCTCAAAAAACCAAAAGGAAAAAAGAAGGAAAAAGTAAAGGCTTAGCCGAGGAGTGGCAAATTGGATTCTATTTCAGGGACAATGGTGTGTTACTGCTTTTTAGATAGTGACCTTGAAAAGAGTGGACATTCCTGGAGAGCATGTGCTCTAAGGTCTGTGTGGAGGACAGATTAGAGAAGAGGTGGAAGAGAGTCAGAGTGCCTGGGCATGAGGCTCTGGGTCTCAGTGATGGGCTAGCAACTTGAGCTAAGAAGGGGTAGGTTCTTTGGTATATATCTGAGAGGAGCCGTACATAGTTATTTACATTTCTGACTACCTTATCACCTTAATTACTGCTTGCATGCTTTCTTGAACATAACCCCCTAATATTACATAAATTATTCTAATTTTTTGTTAATTAGATAACTGTTTGAACATTACAGTAATCAAGTTATCTAAATTTTAGCCTGCACAGCATTACTCAGGTATTACTAAAAGGTGCCTTATTGTGCTCTATATTTTAATTTTTTACTTTTATTTTTTAATTCTTTGGGAATTTAATTGATGCATACAGTATATTTTGATTGTATTCACCCGACTCCTTTAGATTTACCTCCCCATCTTCTCACCCCTTCCCAACTTTGTGTGTTCTCTTTTAAGATATTAAAATGAAAATTTTTTATGTTTATTTTATGTGCATTGTTGTTTTCCCTGCATGTGTATTTGTGTGAGGGTGTCAGATCTCCTGGAACTGAAGTTATAGATGGTTGTGAGCTGCCATGTAGGTGCTGGGAACTGAACTCAGCAGCTCTGGAAGAGCACCCAGTGCTCTTAACTGCTGAACCACCTCTCTAGTCCCTTTAAGGAAAAAATGTTATTAGCCTACCGAGTCCAATTTGGGTCTATCCTTTGGAGCATGGTACCTCCCAGAGGCCCACCCATAAAGAAAATGAACTCTCCCTCCTCTGGAAGTATCAGTGTAAATAGCTTCTTGGCTAGAGGCGGGAGTTCATGAGCCCTCCTCCCTGTGTGCTTGAGTGCTGAGTGGCTTGAGCTGTGCAGGCATTCTATAGAATTCTGGTTCTCATAATCTTTCTGTCCCCTCTTCCACAGTGGTTCCTGAGCCTGTGGGGGAGATGGGTGAAGTAGATTTCCTGTGTGTGGCTGAGCACTCCATAGACACTTACTCTCTGAACTTTAACCAGCTGTGAGTTTCTGCATTACCTGCCATCCACTGCATGAAGAGACTTTTCTCATGAGGTCTCAGGGCTGCACTAGATAATTCGATGAGTCCAGAGATACCAATTTAGGGGACAGTTCGATGTCTCTTTAGAAATAAACAGTAGTAGTATGCTCCC